CGTCCAACTTATAGTTTATATTTGGTTTTGATCATCGATACATCTGCCAAGGGGTCTGGGTTGTGGTCGTGTTCCTAAAACGTTCGATCCATGCACAGGACCTGGGATTCTACTTATACACTGAGATGGTTTGGTTACTTAGTTAACAATCCACTTTGATGGTGAAATTCAGCAGCGACAGAATTTACGGTTACGTACACATTTGAAAGGCATGCTGAAAATTCAGCTCATTCCCTCTCCCGAGTTCTATGGGGGAGAATTTTATTGGTCAACTTTTTCACTACTGTAGGGGAAACAGCATTTTTCACCCCGTCTACACTGAACTAGATTAGTTCTAGGGTGAGAGTAAGTCTAAATTCATTCTGTCCCTGCCACGGTGTGACATCGCCTTACGATGTTTCTCTCACACACATTCTTCCCTTGTGTATTCCCTTCAGTTCGTCTGTTAAATCTGATTGGTCCATTACACCGCTCGATGTTCTTTGCACGAGTGTTGTTTGATTCGGCGATCCCACACAGAACAAATTTGATTGGCGCTTACAAGACCACAACTTTGCTACTGTTAGTTTCAGCATCGACGTTCGTGCATTGGGGTAGAAAGTGTGCGCCGATAGGAAACGATCGCCTGGCAGGTTACTGAGGTATTCCACTATGAAAAAACATTTAAATCGTTATGAAAACCATGGGATTCTTATGCAAACTTCTCATGATTTCGTTTCTCTCCTGAGGAACAGAGATTTGTGTTGACTTTGGTTCAAGCCAAAAGCAGTCTGAATAGTAAGTTGACCTAATAACTGAAGTATGTATGTGGGGATAACATGACCTTTCAAGGATGAAATTTGTATCGGTTGTGTCGTCCATCAGAATAAACGTACTTTGAGCCATAGACTTATTTGGTAATCTTTGTGATAGCACCTTGCGTGTACTATCGATCAGTATTTCCCCTTCCTTAATGTCCGACAAGTTTTCCTTAAAGTCATCCATCTGGATTTGATTTTAATCGTTTATTCACAAATTTCTTAGTTTCCGAAGGGGAAAGACATCCGTCAGTCCGCATTATGCACAAAGTTTTTGCATTGTCCTTTAAACTTCAAAAATAACCGTGCTCAGTGGAAGGTAGTGTGCGTATGCACACATGAAATCTCAGTCTTCTGGCATATTTTATTTGTTTCTTGTTTTCTTTTCGGGAAGGAGGAAGGGGTCGGTAAAACGATTGCAGACAAGTAACCGACCTCGGTGTTTATTTAAAACCAACACGCTTGAATATATTATCTTTATTAGACTTATATCATATAAGTACCAACCTACACAGCACATGAAGGTATACGAGCACTGCAATATCTGTCCGAATTAAGATAGGCCGCTGATTCATCGTGTAAAACAATTACGGTCTCATTTGCTCTCGGCTACATGTACATTTCGAAATGTACATGGGGTCGGTTACCGCTTCGCGATATGTATTTGTGGTCTATTCTTCTGGCCGTATCGAATTGGATCATGCATCGTGCTAACCATGCGTAATCATTCAGACACTAAATTCTTCCAAGCGGACATTTGATCGAATTTGAAGATAATCGACCAAAGGCATGGTGCACTTTCGATTAACACGATCATTCTAGATGTGATACTTGTTTTACGAGCTACGGCTGCACGCAACTGTGGTGGTGGTGGCAGTGAAGAGCAACGTTTTATTGTTAATGGACTTCGAGTGACCTGACGTTTTAGCGTTACATGCACTTGTGTGTGTGTGTGCTCGTACCCAACTACAAATTGAAGCATTGACACTCAAACGTTCAAACAAAAGTCACATTTCAACTGACACAGTGGGAGGAGAACTAAGTTTTCATGTGTGTTCAAGTATGTGCCGAACTATATGTGGAGTATTACAAACTCTTCGAGGGACGACATCAACTGGACAGATTTCGTCACGTACTGGACGGTTCCATACCCTGTGTGTGTGTGTGTGTGTGTGCGTGCGGAACACCATCGAACTGAATACGCATCGTCACAAAAAACCTTGGGCAAAACTATGCAAAGTATAAATAAAATTTGTTCACCGTTCCCTCGAACTCTCGGTGACAGGGATGCATATAAACATGTGGACACAAAAAACACCACATTAGTTCAGTATGCTACAGCGGATTCATGGGAATTCCGAGTTTTGCTTTAGATTATTGCGCGTATAATTATTCGAATGGGGGTTTTTTTAGGTTGTTGATAGTTTACAAAATGGAAGAATTCTCAATGGAGCAGCTCGAAAACATGAACCGAGAACATATTTTTCGCATATCTAAGCGCTTCTCGATGAATCAGTGACTAAACTCATTCTGAAGGTACATCAGCCTGGAATTTACACTGACAGCTGCAAGTGAAGCCTTCCAGTTGAAGAATCAGCGATCACTTGAACCCTTTACCATTGATTACGCTACACTTCGAGGGCTCTAGATAAGCTGTTTAAGATGTTCGAAGTGTACAACATTTGATGTCTCCCGTGGTCCAATTTGGTCTGCTTGTTCGCAGCGAGTATGACCACCTTGGAATTTCAGTATCCTACAATTATGCGTAGCAGGAATGAGACTCGCGAATATCCACATTGACTAGAGAAAATACATTTTTAAAACGTACTCCATCCATTGAATCATGACACTCATTCAAGCAATTAGTTTCTCTGTCTTTTCCGAGGATCTCAATTCCTGGTTTTTCATTTATCTTGAAACCTCCTCTGTTGATTTAGAAAAACACCCCTCTCGCACAAAACACTGTACTGTAACTCATCCTAGAACAGTCAACCTTCTGTTTTCACTGGTAACTAACTCACAGACACTTGACTGGATTTTGAACTCATAGCTCACAGAAAAACAGTCCAGTTTATTTTAGTCTGGTTTTGCACTTATTAAGGGCAGTATTTCAGGGCCAATGCTCTAGACACAGCAAATCAGGAATTCAAAACAGCAATATAAATGTCTGAAGATGGGCCTTACTCAACATTACGTCGGTGTCTGTGGAAGAAAGTGAGTGCAAATCACATAAAACAGTAAACATGGTCATAGAATTTTTGTTATTAGTGGGGAGTGTAATTTGCCTTTGAGTCCCTCTCCGTCCGCGGTTCAACATCTTTCTCATTCCGTCTATTTTCTGCTTCATCCTCCCTCGATTATAGCCTACTATCAATGGGTCCCGTTTGTTCTCGGATTACAATGCATATTTTTCTATATACCACACATTGCCTGGCAAGCGTTGTGTGCACATCGGTCTGGTGGTGATTTGTTCGCCCTGGTCAAAGCCGCAGCCGATGCTGCAACCACGGAACGTGGAACTCGCGAGAAACAAGTAAAGCGAGTGGCCGAATTTTTGGAAGATATGATTGGTGGACATCAGGATTGCCGTAAGGTGAGCGCAGTCAGTTAATCTGTCTATCCACTATTTTTTGCGGCCTTGCTTTTGCTGCTGTTGCTGTAAAATCACGGGTAGGTTATTGCTGTCCTTCTCCCGGAAAATAACTTAATAGCACGCTTGTGCTACTGTACTTCGAGGGTAACTCGGGATCAGTTATTCGAACCATTAGATTGAAATCTACCACTTCTAATGTCAGCAGGAAGATTTTCGCCTTATCCGAATTCACATTTGCTCATATTGCATATGCAGGGACAATCTGGGGGTATAATATGCAGTTTCGGAAACCAGTATGGACAATACAAGGAATATGATCTAGCTCAAAGTCCGAGTTTCTATTGAGCTGGTCACCTAATAAATATGTGTTCAGATATATGATATTAGGAGGATTCGGAACACCGTCAGATCTCACTTACGATCCTCAGTGAGCAAATGATTGAATGCAGTTAGTACAGTAAGTTTCCTAATACTCGTGCCTCAAGGACTGCATTTTCACGTGCTGGTTGGTACACGTTATTTTGAAATACCCGATCCCGATGCACGATTTGATTTTCTGTGGTGCATACTTTTGGCCCATGAGATGTTTTCTTCCATACAAATTGCTGTTGATCAGGGCGACAAAAATGTGAAAATTTTATCGTGCTTCTCAGCATATTTTCATTCAGTTGAGAATATACATTACGCTGTGTGTATGCTTTAGTGTCTGATAGGTCATAGATTGATTTCGTTTCATGACCAGATACCATCGTTGCAGACCCTACACACCAGAGGTAATGGTCAGTTGAAGCGGTGTTTTTCATTTCAATCATGTCCTCTAATCTGAGTGAACTCAGTTAGCATTTTGCAGTTCTCTGCCCCTTGCCAAAAACATTGTCCGACCAGAAAAATAGTCGTTCATGGTGCTTCTCGCATCCATTATTCCATTCGTGCTACTGCTCCCGTAATGATGTTTTATTTCTCTTATCTTTTAGGGACGACGAAGTGCCTTGACGCGCCGTGCGTACGATATGTGCGGGATTTGCGTTGTTAGCAAACGACTTGGCACGTGTCTTGTGTTCTCGTATTTGGCGGTTAAGCTGATCACGATTATCAATGCCATTATGCAGGTTTACCTCATTCAACGATTCCTTGGATTTCACGCGGACGGCAGTGTCGGACAGCGCAGCCTGGAGTTGGGAAAGCCTTTCGATCCGAATTCAGGTGTGTTGTTCGAAATTTGACCATTACAAACTATAATATGATGAATTGAAAGATGTATAAATCCATAATGACCGTAGACAGGGAACGGAAAGTCTAGAGCCACAGGCAGTTTCATGTGCGCAAACAGATGAACCAGGTTTCTTGGTTGTTCAGTTGAACCATTGAATCATTAACTGCTTCGAACTCCAAATGATTGCCAGTCGTCGAATAATAATTTATCGAGAGGGCTTAATTATGTCTTTCTCAATATTTACATTATCGAAGTGACAGATACTAATTAACAATCACTGAAGTTTTATACCCTAGGAGTGCTGGATGAGGAATTACGCGAATAATCAAATAATATTGATAGAACACCCATTTGTTCGGTAATCCATGAGGTTATTTTGACTGCGGTTTTGGTTCCATCTGTTGAGACATCTAAGGTAACTAGAGATTCCGGGTAAATGAGTTTTAGTTTGTGTAGCTGGAATTGGTGGTTTACAATGAGAAACAATCTTGTCGTGTAACTAATTGACTGCCTCATCTATCGCCTATTTTCTAGGAGCTTTACGTCATTCAATTTTTACAGAATAGTTAGTTATTATGAGGTATTCCTAATTGAGTTTAGCTCGCAATTCCAAATGCTTTCTTTATACATGTCAGTTAATGCTGTTGAATTAATTTAAAGACCAGATTTAGGGAATCCGATCAACCTAATAAGGTTTGTGACAAAAGGTGAATTTGTAGATGTATATTTAAAGTTAATCGATCTTTGAGCATTCGAACAAAGTCAGCTAAAGTAACTTTCGAATCCTCAGCTCTGGGGCATCGAAAGTTCTCTATGTACAACACTCCATGGCCATCTCTTTCTGCATGTTCTGTTCCTATTGAAATGAATTCCTATGACGAGTTTAGGAATAACTTTGCGTTTGGTTCTAGTTGAACAACTCAGAAGTGTTCCTTATGTACCACGAATCAACAGAAGCCAGCTAATCTGCACAGCGGCTGTTGTTGTCAATATGATCATGGCGGTTTTCGTTAACACCATCTCTTCCAGTCTAACGGTTCGTGACTGGTCTTGACTACGCGGTTAGTCAGTTTAGATGGATGAATCGATGAGTGCACAGTTTCTATGATAATCACTAGTAGTCGAACGCAGGGCGACAGGCGGACAACCACGAAGCCGGACCTTTGTGTTCGGTCAACCAAACCGACCAATTTTGCTCATATGTTGAACCGGATGACTCATCAAGTTGTCGGTGCACTGCCTCACACGTCTCACTTAGACTATCATGGATTTGCTTAACTTCAGCGGCTTCCTTCTCTCCGCCAGTCCGTCAGTCTCGTACAGATTAGCAAGTACAAGCAGGTTATCAGTTTCGGAACTTTTCGCGATATAGAATTTCAACATGTAATCTTTGTCGTTTGTATAGATTTTGCTAACGTTTGCTACAGTCGTGTGCACTCTTTATCGACCATAGACTGTGTCGAGGGTATACGCTTCGTCAAATCAGAAACAGACTTTACTACGTGAATAAAATAGTTGTCCAGGTTTTCTAAATTTGCCTTCACGAGTTATCCTCAAATCTTTAGGTTAGCGTTTCTTCGTTATTAAGGGGTATACATTCGCCTGTAACTGTTTGCTGCATCTGTATCCGAAAGAATCGAAACTATATTTACGATTTTCCGTGTGATGGATTTTATTTGTAAATATCGAACCGATGTATACTCATGGAAGTTTAGGTATTCGACACACAAGGGGGATGTACTTTTGTGTGACCAAAAATTATCCAACAAAAGAAATCTTCGTGCTGATTCAATTGCCCTACCTGTATTTTGCAAAATGTCGAACATCGAATTCCTGATGTGCTTTGTTCTGTTTGGAAATGTGGCTTTACTTCATTCAGCTGCCTTGGAATCGATGAATGAATAGCTGATATTTGCTGATAGCAGCACCTTTCAACGCTGGGTTCGTTTTCATCATCTGATTTATTCTGTTGTAGTTCACATTTAGTAAACTGCTGCCGATCATAAGGAAATCTCATTTTGAGTGATTCCACTACTTGCTAGTTCGTGAGTTCACCGTGGTCACTGAAGACGTGAAAGGTGGTTGTTACCCAAATTGATTGGGATTCCGTTATAGACTCATTCGTCAACATTCTTCGTGAAACACTACGGATTTCGAAATAACAGGTTCTCAAATGAGATGCGAATGCAACACTCGGACAATTGCTAAAACTGCT